AATCAGAATTCCAAATGAGATCCCCACATTGGATTTGGTTGTTTTCTTTCTAAGTGTCATTTATTCTATAACCTGCCTCCACCCACCCTCCTCCCCCACCCGATCTACAGGTTGTCACCATTTCTCTTTTCAGGGTGCTAATTTCCAGGTATTCAATAACTTACTCAAGTTAAAACACCATGAAACCAACCACATCATTTAGATATACTATACAGAGCAATGATCAGAATTCCTTCTTTGAGCTAGAATATATAAGCAGAGAGGCAGTGCCTTTAAGGAGAGATCAATATGGCTTCTGTGACTTATTAGCAACATGACCCTGGGAAGGTAATTTATTCTGGCCTTTAATGTCTCATTAAAATCTAAAAGTATGCACCTTTAAAAATAACTTCTACTTAACACAGGTCAGCCTTCTTGACTATTTTAGTACTTTTTTTTACGCTCTAAAAATCTTCTGAACACCAAATCTTACAACCTTACGTAAGACTTAACTAAAAACTGAAATAAGCTCTCTGAACAGGACCCCTGAAGCCCAGGGGTTGGCAAACTGCAGCCCACAGGCCAAATCCAGTCCTCGGCCTGTTTTTGGATGGCCTGCTGTCTCTATTTGGCCCAGTGAGCTAAGGTTGGGTTTTTTACATTTTTAAATGAGTTGTTTAAAAAAAGGAATGGAAGCATGTGACGGAGACTATATGCAGCCTACAAAGACTAAAATGTTTACTATCTGGCCTTTTACAGAAAATGCTTTCTGACCCCTGCTTTAGCCCATTCAAAAAACAACAGGAAACAGTAATAACAACGGCTAACGTTTACTGCTGGGCATTGTTCTAAGCACTGACATCCCACCTACCTATATGGTAGGAACCATATCCCCATTTTTACCGATGAGGAAGGCACAGGAAGTAAGGTAACTTGCCCTGCTGGCCACAGGACTAGGGTTAAGTGGCAGAGACAGGATCTGAACTCAGAGCCTTTGCTCTTAACCATTATGCTAGAAACTAACATCAGATACTTAACATATGTTACCTGAGTGACTGAAGGATGGCATTCATAAAACACGTGTTCCCCAAATTCCGAAGGCCTGTGGCACAGATGGCAGTGGTGCTTCCCTGTAAAATGGGACAAGAAGACAGGCCATTAGTAGCACCAAGAGAAGGTCAACTATTTCAAAAAGCAAAGCAAAGCAATAGACTCTATTTGAAAGTCTAGCAACAAGCCAATTTGGAACTGGTCCTTTTCTGTGCAACTAATACTTCCAACAAATACTTTCTCATCCCTATGTAAGTGTCTAGATATTTTTAGAAGGCTGTTTCCAATGCTGGGATTGCTCTAAACAGGAGTAGCTTAAGGAGTTCATGAGAAATCAGCATTAATAAGCACCAAAAAGCACCACTGCAAAAACAAAACAAAACCATGGAAAAATCCTTAAAGGAAACAAAATTTAAGCCTGACTGCCTTTACAATACTCTATTAGAACTACTAGAAATTGAAAATATATAAATATATATGCTCTGAAGTATTTTTGTCCCCAAACTTTTAACTTTAAGTCGCGCATAAATGATCAAGCCATGTTTCCCCAGCGATAGTATATAAACCTGGAAAAACTATGCGAACTTCTCTTAAAGACTCCAGCTTGGCTTTCTGATTAGCTCCGTAAATGCACTCTGACATGTGAACGCTACACTCGGAGGGAAATGTACTAATCCTACCCAAAGCATCTCTGCCCACAGTGCAGACAGCTGTGAGAGTACGCCTGCTCTTCCTCCCGCCACATCCTAATGCTTTAGTTAAGTGTCTGTCTGCACATAGTTAGCACGGCAGTAGCGGGATGGATTCGGGGTACACATACAGCTTTATCGCAAAATATGTAGGAATCTTCAAAATTTTGTGAATCCACTGATGGCATGTACACTGTTATAAGAGACGTAGGTCAGAATGAGGAAGCATAATCTTTTAAGGTGAAATTGTATTAATGAATCCTAAGAAATAAAATTTACTAAAATTTCAGAACCATGTAACTTGCACTAGCGACCTGTAACAGAAGGAAGCAAGGATCTCTGGGATCCTGCAGAAATGAACTCATCAGGTACATGAGTAGGTGTTCAGAGCAAACTGCTCTGAAAGGCAGAGGAGCACAGCAGTAACTTTAATGGCAGGAAGACATTAACAGATGTACTCACGGGGTACTTAGTCACATCAAGAATCATTAGCACAAGTGGCAATCACTTTGGAAAATACTCTAAATCCCAGACATACATTTATAAAAGTTAACAAGGCAACGTTACATGTTAGCATTGTAATAAAACAGCGACTAGATCTCAAAGCTCTCATTTTGAACAAATTTTAATTACTTACATTTACTTTTAATAGCTTGCTGTTTAGTGATGAATTTTCCAAAAGTTTTCTTTTCCTATGTCTATCGGCTGTGAAAGCTGAGCTATTAAAACACAAACACACAAACAGATGGTCAAAAAGGCCTTCATGTAGACAGGCGACCCTGCAGGTTAGAGAGGAATCTCCAGATGCCCCGAGGGACTAGGGCACGGCGCCTGCCTGGCTGCTCCATCAGCCCGTGAAGTGATCCATTAGGCTCACAAGGGCCCACAAGTATTTAAAGTAACTGAAGAGTCCACTTCCCTTGGAAATCCCATTGCTTTCCGTGCAGTCCACCGCTCCTCCAGCAGGGGTGGGAGTGCTTCCCAGAAAAGCTGGCCCGGGAGATGGAGACTGAGAGACACCCCCTCTCCACCACCACTCTATCTGCCTAATCAACTGAGAAGCTTCAAAAATGAGAAGACGCACTCCTCCCAACAAAAGGGAAACCGTGGTCTGATACGATTATTCTAAGATTTAACATTAAATCGCAAATAATATGCTGCTTCTTTCTTAATTTTGATAAAGATATGTTTTGGTCATTTGTCTTAATAGATTATGGTATAATCTGGGTTCAAGAAATGATAAATAAAGTATAAGTACATAATATTAAATTATATGAATTCATTTGTTTCAGCTATGCTGCAATGGGTATTCTAAAGCAAAATGTATTAGCACAAAAATTCTGAATTAAAATCATTATTCAATATTTTTCTTGATCAAATAGACACTTTGTTTAAAATTTATCAGAAAGTAGTTCCTATCATCAAAGGGTCACTTTAAAATTATGCATCAGGAGAAGTAATCTAAAGGAAATAAAAATTATGGTTAAACAACACAGGCTTCTAAACCTGACAATTCTTCCCCATCTTCTAGAAGTACCCGGCTAACCTAAAGGAAATCCATAATTATTTTTCTTTCCAACATTTCCAAATGAGATATAATATCTTTGGAGCATCAGTCAGTTGCTTCAAACCTAAAAATATGCTTCAAAAACATGACTTCAGAACTCTGTGTACGTATCTCTCTGTGTACTGGTGATTCCAAGGAAAAAGGAGAGCAAATTCCATATATTACCGTGGTAAATTATTCCCTCACAAATTCTGTAAGTGAAGAGGTTGAATCATAAGCATAGTATATGTACACTTAGCAACAATGTCTAGAAGTTAACTTTCAGTTTTGATCTATATAAATAAAGCACTTAGCTTTTTAAAATAGAAGTTTTTAAATTTTACCCTCAGTGTTTCCCAGAGAGGCAGAATTCTCTATCTAGATCCACGCTAATATACTAGCCACATGTAACTATTTAAATTAATTAAACTTAAATACAATTAGCAACTCAGTTCCTCAGTTGCACTAGTCACTTTTCAAGTGCTCAACAGCTACATGTGACTCACGGCCACTGTATTAGACAGCAGAGATTACAGAACATTCCCATCACTGCAGAACATCCTAACGGACAGCACTGCTCTAGATGATATGTAGAATAGTCTAAAATTAATAAAACACAAATGTAATCATTATTTTTAAATTGTAGCTGAAGTGGTCAGTGGAAATAAAAGATTTGATAACTGCATGTCATGGATTGAATTGCATCCCCCCAAAATATGTGTCAACTTGGGTAGGCCACGATTCCCAGTATTGTGTGGTTGTCTTCCATTTTTGTGATCTGATGTAATTATCCTCCCATTTTGAGATGTGTTGTAAATACTAACCTCTATATGTTACTAAGGCAGGATCAGTGTAGGTTGCATCTTGAGTAACAGCCTTACAAGAGGGTCACAACTTTTATCTTACCAGAGATACAAGGAGAGAAGCAAGCTGACACAGGAGGGACTTCACCACTACCAAGAAAGAAGAGCTAGGAGCAGAGCACATCCTTTGGACCTGAGGTCCTTGCACTGAGAACTTCCTAGACCCAGGGGGAAGACTGATGTCAAGACACATGGAGATCTCCAAGGAACACCAGGCTCACAAATGTTGAAAGGAGACAAGGACCTTCTTCCAGAGCCAACAGAGAGAGAAAGCCTTCCCCTAGAGGTGGTGTCTTAAATTCAGATTTCTAGCTTCCTAAACTGTGAGAGAATAAATTTATGCTTGTTAAAGCCATCCACTTGTGGTATTTTTGTTATAGCAGCAATAGATAACTAAGACACTGCATAACACATGCAGGTTCTTAAATGCCCTCTTTTCCCTTTGGCTTCGTTCTGATTTATTGGGGATTGAGATGGTAGTCTTTTCTTAGAGAAAACTGTAAGTGGCAGAAAAAATATTCTGCTATATTCTTTCTATAACAAAGAATCAAGTTAGTAAGATATTCACAATGACAACACCATACCAAAGACTGATGTTACATAAGTCACTGCAGGAATCTCCTACTTGACAGTTAACTGTGAGCAATTTCAGACAGTGGTATTTTGGATCTGTCTCTCTGTCCCTGTGTTTCCAATCCTAGTTAGGGCTCATGGCACTGAGTTCAGATTAAAAGAAGGGGTGATCACTTTAGAGAAGAAAAGAGTCAAAAGACGACAAGCCAAAAAACACTTAAATCCAATGTGTTTCAATTCTTTTAATTTTATAAAGAAATGAATGTTCTTTTATCAGTTTTATAAACTACTGAATCAATGAGACAGGCATAAAGACTCTGGTTAACTAAAACCATACAGTGCTTTCTGTGAAGAATTAGCTTTATGTTATCCCCTCAGTATATAAATTTTAAAATAGTCTATTTGCTTTACATTTAAGTTTGCTAAGGGACCCCTGCTTTGGGCATGCTCTCACAATAACTTTGATACATCACCTGCCAGGATAACTTAGATGGCCCCTAATAATCTGGGATGACTTACATATATTTCACTTGAGTCAGCGGTCATTCCAGAGCCAGGGCTCTCTCTATGGTAGGTCAATGGCTATTTGGATTTCTGTTTATTGCTTGAATTTTGGGTTCAGTGAGTATTACATAAGTAATCTATTTGGCTATAGCAAGAAAAATCTATTCACATAAATAATTTCTGGACGATGACACAGCACTTCACAGTTCTTTGTAACTTCAGGTGATATACTGCCCCTCTACTAAAAAGGAAAAGTAGAACTAGGATCCTGTGCTATCATACAGATGCCAAGTGGACAATTACACGATCATTAAACCTAACTGCCCTTAAAAATAATGCCTAAATCTTAGTGTTTCTAAGCAGACCTCATAATACACTTGACATGGATTTTCTATTATCAAAGATAATCCTATAATGATTTCATGTCTGTTTTCTGCCCTTTCTTTGTACCCACAAATTCCTCCTTGCAAACAAACAAAGTGGCTTATAAATTGGAGGGTAATAACTAAAAAACTCTTCAGCCTTTAGATATGGTTTATGACAAATATTGCAATGAAATAAATGCAGAGCTATGACCATTAACTATGGATAAAGTTTCAAATATCCAAACCCAAGGTTTATTTAATTAATATTTCAATCACATGAAAAACACGATTAAATCACTCACTGCTAGTACAACTGTAAAATGGTGCAGCCACCTTGGAATACAGTTTGGAGGTTCCTCAAATAGTTAAACATAGAATTACCATAAAAAAACGAAACCAAATCTGTTGCCGTCGAGTTGATTCCAACTCATAGTGACCCCACAGGACAGAGTAGAACTGCCCCACAGAGTTTCCAAGGAGCACTTGGTGGATATGAACTGCCGACCTTTTGGTTAGCAGCTGTAGCACTTAATCACTATGCCACCAGGGTTTCCAGAATTACCATATGACACAGCAATTCCACTCCTAGGTATATACCCAAAAAACTGAAAGCAGGAACACAGATACATGTACGTCAACATTCAATGCAGCATATTATTCCACGATGAAGAAAAACAAAGCCCTGATACACGCTATGACATGGACGAACCCTAACAACATTAAACTGAGTGAAACAAGCCAGTCACAAAAGGACAAATATTGTACGATCCCACTTATATGAAATATCTAGAACAGGCAAATGTAGAAGGACCAGAGTTTATTAGTGGTTACCAGGGGTGTGGACAGGGGGAAAAGAAGAAGTCGTTGTTAGGGGACACTGAGTTCTTTTAAGGGTGATGGAAAAAATCTGGATACAGATAATGGTAATGGCTGCACAATATGACGAATAAAATTAATGTCACTGAATTGTCCATGTAAAAAATGTTTTGTTATGTACACATTTACCACAATTAAAACAAAACAAAAACCCGGATAAAGTAAGAAAGATATGGAGCTCATAAACAAAAATCCCACCCCAAAATTTTAAAACACCCCTCCACCCATCCTATTCCTTGTCCTTCCCAAGGCTATTACTTACTTTTCCAAGTTCTGTAAGTGTTCTCGGACTTTCTGTACCAGTCCCAGCTTGGTGTCGTTAACCACAAAATCATCACAGCGATAACTGCAAGGAAAATATTAATCAATGTGTGTAAAGAGTCTGAGGAAACCACAGTGAGGAAATCACTGAAAGGCCCCGCTGCTGCCAAGACCATCACATGGCTCTGCGGGCAGTTACCGTTGGTGGCAAGTTTAAAGAGGACTTGGAATCCACAATGGAATGCTTTTTAAGAGCCTTTTTAAAAAGCCACGTAGGCAATGAACACTAGCTTCTTTTCACATTTTTGTTCAAAAGCTCTTCAATTTCTCCTCCTAAAATGAAATAAACTGTTACATGTGTTAAATTCCTTTTAGTGATGCATAATACATGGAAAATGAAATAAAAAGCAGCAATTCTATTCACACAACGTTAAACCTAAAGCTTTAAGGGATACTTCTCAATCAAAATTAATGGGGAACTTGGAGGGAGGAGAAATTTCAGTGAAAAACAAGGAAAAGTAGTTAACAATCTCTAGGAATATTTGAATTTAAAAAAACCCTAAACACAAAGCTGTACATCTTAACCATAATTTAATTAAAATAAATTGAATTCAGATGAGTTGAGGAAGTGACTCTTTTCATCCTGAGGTGCTAGAAACGAAGGTATCAAACACTGGCTATGTCTTTAGAAAACCGAAAACTGCCTTGAAGATCTCTAAGGCTTTTTAAAAAAACTGACACTGCGTGTGTATGTTTCAACAAGTCAGTAAGCAATCAGGGTAAGGAATAACACATAATAAATTTTAACTCGTACAGTAGCATCAGTTTTTTCCTGGGATAAGGCCAATTTTAACACAACAACTCAGTATGTAGCTCTGTATAAAACCACTTGTTATAACTACTGGGGAATAACGACAGAAAGACTGCCGTTCTGGGCAAACAATACTTGGAAAGCATAGCAATTAGTGAAAATTAGGTCATCTCTAGCAGAATCCAAAAACATTTCTTACACATCTGAACCCAGCCTTTAAAAAATGAGGAGTTGGAACAGACACTTCACCAAAGAAGAAGACATTCAAGCAGCCAAGAGACACATGAGGAAATGCTCGCAGTCATTAGCCATTAGAGAAATGCAAATTCAAAGCACAATGAGATACCACATCACCCCGGCATTACCGGCACGAATCAAAAACACTGGAAATAGCAAATGTTGGAGGGGCTGCGGGGAGATCGGAACTCTTATGCACTGCTGGTAGGAATGCAAAATGATACAACCATTTTGGAAAATGATATGGCACTTCCTTAGAAAGC